TTTCTCTCTCTGTCTGCCTGTCTGTCTGCCTGTCTGTATGACTGTCTGTTTGTCTGTCTGTCTGTCTGTCTGTCAGTCTCTCTGTCTCTCTCTCTCTCTCTCTCTCTCTCTCTCTCTCTCTCTCTCTCTCTCTCTCCAAACAACCCCATCATCTAAAAGCCTCCATTCTCAGAACACCGGATATTTGACGGATGTTTTAGGCCGTGTTTTCGCCCAAATAAGACAAAACAGAGCAGCTATGATCAAATTGAATGTGACAGGGGGGAGGGAACTGGGAAGACATCCCGGGGAAATCCCCCACGAAAATATCTCATGGAGAATTAACAAAGCGATGTGTCAACAGACGATGAAATGTGGATGTCTATTGAGTCTGACGTCACGCTTCGAGCGAGAGAGGAGCCCACAAAATGGCGGAATGTCACAACATGGTGGAATCAGGCGCTCGGAAAATATATTTTAGGCATTTCGGGTTATTAGTTTCGAGTTATTAGTTTCGAGTTATTAGTTTCGAATTATAAGTTTCGAATTATAAGTTCCGAGTTATTAGTTTCGAATTATAAGTTCCGAGTTATTAGTTTCGAATTATAAGTTTCGAGTTATTAGTCTCGAATTATTAGTTTCGAGTTATTAGTTTCGAGTTATAAGTTTCGAGTTATTACGTAGTATCATCCTGAATAGAGTTCATTTTTCTTCTTACTTTTGGTGTTTAAAAAATATACTCATCTGCTGTTTCTAATAGAAGTCGAGATATATTTGCGATTGAAGGAGGCAGGGGTTGTTCAGTGTCTGAAGCAATGTTAGCAAAAAGATGGCAGCCACCAGAGTTTGGCGAATACCAAAGATTGGGAGTCTTTGGAAACTGCAAATTTACTTCTTTCTTTTTTTTCGTGGGAAAGGAGGGGAGGTTGTGCGATTAACGTTTTTTCCAGCAAAAATCGGCACATAAATTGTGTTTAGCCAAACACATAGATCAGAAACCAAATTGTCTAACGGGTGGATGGACAAATATCGGTTTCTTCGATTCTATTATTTTGACGAGCGCCTGATTTCCCCACGGTGTCTCACAAATAGAACAGCGTCTAAAAACAGTTCAGTCCGCTAACAAAAACATACCAGTCAAGCAATTTGTAAATTGCACCAGACAACGACGCAAGGCGTTTATTGACTTATTGACTTAAACAGAAATTTAACAGAAACTTCAATAACGAATTGC